TGATCTCAAGCTGTATTATAGAGCTATAGTCCTGAAAACAGCTTGGTATTGGCACAAAAATAGACAGGTAGACCAATGGAATCGAATTGAAAATCCGGGTATTAACCCACACACGTACGAACATCTGATCTTTGACAAAGAAGCTAAAAATATACAATGGAATAAAGAAAGCATCTTCAACAAATGGTGCTGGCATAATTGGAGACTGGCATGTAGAAGAATGCGGATTGTTCCATGTTTATCGCCATGCACAAAACTTAAGTCCAAATGGATCAAAGACCTCAACATAAATCCAGCCACACTGAACCTCATAGAAGAGAAAGTGGGTGGTACCCTTAAACGAATTGGTACAGGAGACAGCTTCCTGAACATAACACCAGTAGCACAGACAGTGAGATCAACAATTAATAAATGGGACCTCCTGAAACTGAGAAGCTTCTGTAAGGCAAAGGACACAGTCAGCAAGACAAAAAGGCAGCCCACAGAATGGGAAAAAATATTCACTAATCCCACATCTGACAGAGGGTTGATCTCCAAAATTTACAAAGAACTCAAGAAGCAAGTCTCCAAAACAGCAAAGGACCCAATTAAAAAGTAGGCTGCAGAACTAAATAGACAGTTTTCAATAGAGGAGTCTAAAATGGCTGAGAGGCACTTGAGAAAGTGCTCAACATCCTTAGCCATCAGGGAAATGCAAATCAAAACAACTCTGAGATACCATCTCACTCCTGTCAGAATGGCTAAAATCAAAAACACCAATGACAATTTATGCTGGAGAGGATGTGGTGAAAGGGGGACACTCCTCCATTGCTGGTGGGAGTGCCAACTGGTTCAGCCACTTTGGAAATCAGTATGGAGATTCCTCAGAAAAATGGGAATAAACCTACCACAAGACCCAGCAACTCCACTCTTAGGCATATACCCAAAAGATGCCCATTCATACAACAAAGATGTCTGTTCCACTATGTTCATAGCAGCTTTATTTGTAATAGCCAGAACTTGGAAGCAACCTAGATGTCCCTCACCCGAAGAGTGGATAGAGAAAATGTGGTACATCTACACAATGGAGTACTATTCAGCAGAAAAAAATAATGGAATCATGAGATTCGCAGGCAAATGGATGACACTAGAAGAAACCATCCTGAGTGAGGTAACCCAGTCACAAAAAGAGAAACATGGCATGTACTCTCTCATATATGGATTTTAGACATAGATCTGGGGAGTGCCAGCCTACAATCCTATGGCCAGACAGTCTGGGAAACAGAAACTACATTTAGTGGCTGGTTAAGCACTGAGCTGAACTCAAGAAAGCCAGTATCAGAGAGGGAGGACTGATGATCAAAGGGATTAAGACTGGGCTGGTTGAACCCCCAGAAACAGCTGATCAGGCAAAGGTTAACTCTTGAATCCCAGGCATCAGCCTGGGAATCCAGCATGGGACTGATCAAGACCCCCTGAATTTGGGTGTCAGTGAGGAGGCCTAGGTAATCTATTGAGCCTTGGGCAGCAGATCAGTACCCATCCCAAGTATACACACGGACTTTGGACTCCAATAGAACAATGTGAGGTGCACTCTCACCCTGAACTCTTGGGGAAGGGCCTAGGCCCTGCCCTTTATGAAATGACAGACTATGGACACCCCCATGGAGGGCCTCACCCTCCCTGGGGGAACGAGGGGATAACGGGGGGGATGGGGGAGGGCACGGGAGGAGGGGAGGGAAAGGGAGAGAGACCTGGAACTGACTTGTGAAGCAACCTTGTTTCTTATCTAAATTTAAAAAAAAAGAAAAAAAATAAACAACAACAACAAAACCTAGCAGTAGACAGGGAACTTCACTCCCTCTGGAGGCTACTTCGTCAGCTTGCTAGATGGTGTCATGGTTGGATAAACAATCAATGCAATTAAAATCTTGCTTTTACTAAAAAAAAAAAAAAGAAATCCTGGGTATGATAGAAATTGTGTTTCTCATAAATAGTGAGATTTATATATGAATAGGTTGAATAGTAGGTTCCTCAAGATTTAAAGTATTTCATGAAACTTGCTTGTCATTGTTTTAATATCCTCTGTTTTGTGGGTATGTAGTAAGTTCTCAAGCTTTCAAATAACTATATTTGTATTTTCTTGTCTTTATTAATTTTTCTGTTTGTTTCTAACAGCATTCTTTTGAGAAAAAAATCTTACTATATAGTCTTGGCTGGCTAAGAACTCACTGTGTAGACTTGGCTGGCCTCAAATTCAGAGATCTGCATGCCTCTCCCTCCAAAGTACAAGAATTAAAGGTGTTTACCATGACGCCCAGGTGTTTTTCCTATTTCTTATTGAAAGGTCTGTTTTAGGAATGTTTATATAGGAAGTGTTTTTAAAAGAAATAAAAATAGACAATATAATATTTGAATGCAGATGACACCATTTATTGATATAAATTTACATATGAAGTATTTAAAGGAAAAGACAAATTTCAATCCAGGAAGAAATATATTACTTTCACTATTGTGTCAAATATTTATTTTTTTCCAGCAGATTCACATACTAGAAAAAAGAGTAAATTGAAACATTTTTGCAATGCACCTTACACATCATTGTTATGTATTGGAAAATAGTGAGGACAGCACAATGGCATTAACCATCAATAAATTTTACCAGACACAAAATATTAACAAGGCAATTGGCAGAAATATATTATAAGAAAATGACATTAATCACAATTAGTATCACAAGGTACTTGAGAAGAAAGAGAAATAGCTGACACTTATAGATTACACAATTTAGAGCACAAGTGTCAACAAGATACAAATACAAAATCGAAAATACTTAGGCAAAACACCATTATCCAAGAGTTGAAATTTAGTTTTCAATATGTAAGACAAGGTGAATTGATATTTTTATTTCTGTGACATCAAACACTTCTGGTGGTATAGTTAATAAGGTTTGTGCAACCCATATTACATTAGTCTATATTTTCATGAAGAAAAAATTAATTTTGAAGAGATTTTCTTCATAAATGAAACAGGCAAAATATTTAGAACAAATCAACGTTTTTAATGTGTAAAGTTGATGAACTGCCTTGTTTTTATTCACAACTGATTCAGACATTAAAGTCAATGTTTGAAATCTTCATATTCGTGTTTACCAACCAATCAGGGCTAATGTTAGTTTTTTTTTTTTTTTTGGTTTTTCAAGACAGGGTTTCTCTGTATTGTTTTAGAGGCTATCGGTCCAGCCTAGCCTTGAACTCACAGAGATCCGCCTGCCTCTGCCTCCCGAGTGCTGGGATTAAAGGCGTGCGCCACCACTGCCCGGCTTAATGTTAGTTTTATATGACCTGATAGCTCAGATTGGGTAATATTGGAGTTGAAATAAAATAAAATCATCTCTACAGTGTAGTTTAGAAAAAAATACATTGTGTTAGCAAAAATTCTCAATGATTTAAATAAAACTGCTGTTGTTGTAATATAGATTTGTTTCCAGATATTCTCTGTGTCTCACATACACACAGAAGAAGATCTAAAAACAAAAGTGTCCAGATCGTGTCACTATATTTGGACAGAAGAAGCAGCTACTTAAACAGGTGCAGAATTAATTTTGTTTTTAGTTTTGAACATAGTCCTAATAAATGTTTGGTGAATTCTGCTACAGAAATAAGATTGATTTAGCAATTTATTTATTAAATGGATACAACCCCTCTGTAATATTATTTATTTGAATTTTAAGTTATTAAGATACTAAAATACCTGTTGTGAATTTCACAGGATTAGCATAATCTCACAGAATGAGCACCAGATGTTCTATACTCTAGTGCTGCAATAATTCAACCCTTGAATAAATAAAAACATCACATCAATCTACACCACAGTTTATTTAAAGATACAATACAGGTCAATTCACACACATCACATATATATTACGGTATCACCTCGAATGGTACTTTGTTTAAACATGTCACAATAAATATTTAGTAAACAAGAGAAGTTAATAATGGCCAGCAAATAATGGCACTGCACAATTCACAAAATCAAATACAGCATCAATGTAAATGAACAATGTTTCACCATACTAGTGCACTTAACTGTCCTGCTTTTCTCTGAAAATAAAATCCAGTTGTTTCCTTTACTTTCAAAAGGTGGAAATTTATATTAACAATAAGTATTAAAGCTGTAAGCATCATGCCAGCTTTTGCTGATTTTAGACAGATTTGTTCTCTAGTCACTGGTGATGTGTAGAAAATGAGAAATATGGAGCTACTAACTTGAAACATAATGACTGTACTAAGAACAAACTGAAACACTTGGTTGGAGTGTCTGATGAGTGTAAAGTCTGGGGAATTATAATGTGTAGAGGTGGTTTGATTTTTTTAACTGAATTTTGACAATAGTGGGTGTTTCCAAATTGTTACTACTACTTTAGGAAAATTTTCTTGGTTTTGAATCCCATTATGCACTGCACATTATGAAATGTTAGGGTTTAAGAAAGAAACTTTGGAAACTATTGTTTTATAACTTTAAAACCCTCAAATGTATGTGTGTTTATTTTTTAATAACTAGGTTTATTTATGAAGAAATTATGAAAATTAGTTAATATCATCATGATGATCTTCAAAAACTTTGAGTATCTGGGTAATATTAACTGTTGATACTTTTATCATAATTTAGAATTAACAAATGTCACTGCATTTTATGTTGAATTTTATTTTGAAGATGATCTTTTTATCTTACTCTAATATATGTATAAGAATAAAGAAGTTGGTTTGTAGGTGAATATTAGTTGCTTAAGACAATGAAATCTACTAAAGGTGAGTCATTTTAAAAAATAAACTCTTAAAATATTATTTTAATAGCAAAAATATGCTCTAGGTAAATTCACAAAGTGCGTATTTAATTGTTTTTCATCAACATATCTTACAATTTAGATGAAGAAATTGGTATTTATGTCCATTTATTTTTCTCAAAGAGTATAAAAAGAATAATTTTATAATATATAATAATAAGAAAAATTGGTGCTTTCAAAGACATACAAAACTTAAAATTTAAAACTAAAATATTTCTTTAAATATTTTATGCTGTGTATGTTTTCATAATCTTTGAAAGGCTAGAATAAGTCAGCATTATTTTAAATATCAAGGAATTTTTGTCTGGGGAGTACATGGTTTTCTGATCCCTACATTATCACATCATTATTCCTATCCAGATGTTTTAATACTATGGATGTTACAATTTTGGATACCTTGATACAGTATGGAAAATATAGAACATTTGGATTTTATTTTTTATAAATCAACAAAGGTTGATTTATAAAAAATAAAATACATTCATGGTCTTTACCTTAATATTCATTCTATCATGGCTCGTGAAGTTTAAAAGGTGGGGAGAATTTATGATTAGTGCTGGAGTGGAGTTTAAGGGTGAAAGGTGGGGGAGACTTGAGATAGGGGAGAGTAAGAGTATGGTGGGAGTTGGAATGAGGCTTGGGAATAGGCTTGGGGAAAGGATGATAATAAATAGGGTGTAGTGAACATGGAGACAGTGTCATTGTGGAATTAGATGGGAAGAGGAGGAAAGCAGAGAAGATACTCAAAATAGTGTAGGGGTGAGGAAAGAGCTACAGTGTGGATGAGGTATGGAGGATACGGAGAAGTGGGTTGGGTATAAGAAAGGTAAAGGATGAATTGGAGTTAGGTTGGATTGAGGGGGGACACTTATAGGGATTAGTGTATTTGAGGACAGAATAAACTTTAGGGTTATTTGTTCATTTTATTAACTAATTAAATAAGGAGTTTCAAAACAGCAATAAATAAAAATATTCTCTTCAAAATAATAAAGCAGAATTTCATTTACTTTAAAGCTAAAGTTTTATTTTAATTTTTGTTTTCTTAGAGTTCCTCTCATTTTCCATAAAATTGTCTTCCACATCAGTGACTCTCTCTGCTTTTGAAATATATACTGGAAAAGGCACATATACTTTGTAACCTATGATATGCCAAAAGCACTTTGCTGTATTTTGGGTTTTTACTTCTAAAACATGCTTAAAACATAATGATTAGATGGATATATAATATGTAATTAATGAAGCTTTTCTGACAGTTATATGAATTTTTATGAAGTTTTCTTATTAAAAAACTATGTTCTTTAGTCTCTCTTTTGTAGAATTATGATGTTATTGAGTGACTTAGAGAATTAATTTGATATGGAGAACCCTAGGAAGATAGGGTATAATCTTTGAAAATAAGTAATTATGTGCTACTGAACATATGCATTGCTCAGTTAATTAAATACTAACAGTATTTAGAAGGATAAAACCAAGGCTATAAGGAACTTCTATTACAGGATTAAGAACCATCTTCTTAGACCATTTTCATGTTCGATTTTTACTTGACAGTTTCATTTAATTTCTTAAATATGTACAGAGAAGCAGCTGGCCACTTTACATATATTTTATATTTAAGTTTTAAGCCACTAAACACAATATCCAAAATCATATGGATCATGAGGAATAATATTCACATAGCAGGGTTTTGTTGATGATGATGTTGGTGTTTTCGTGACTATCTTCAATTATATATGAGTGTTATATATAATTGAACCAAATTTTGTTTACTGTCTTTTTTCTACTTGTTTTTTATAAACATTAGTTCTTAGCAAGTTATTTCTCAGTTTCTATTGAACTTAATAGTTTTTTTCACTCACAAGGTGGTTTCCTTTAAAATTAGAATGCAAGAGTTCTGTTTCTTAAAGTCAATGTGACAAGGTGATCTGTCAGTTTGTTTTTTTATTCTCAGTCAAGTATTGTCAGTAACTCAAGTATGGTAGCCTATATCCTTCTGTTATTTCTGTGGTTTTGCCACACTATGTAAAACTCAGGTTACTCAAGTCTGAAATGGTATCCCATCTTCTGGGTTGGTAATAAGTAGGAGAAAATAATCTCACTACCTTTCCTTATTTTATGAGGTCAATGCCCTGGTTCATAAAGCACATGCTGAACCATGGGGATTGAAGGGAGGGAGGCTAGCCAGCCTCTTTACCTCCTTCCTCAGAGGCAAGAGTTATGAACAAGGCAAGAGTTTGCCTTCAGTCCAAAGATTGCCACCCCTTGCACTATGTGTTAAGGCACACAATAAGGGGTTAGGTGGTAACCTATTATTCAAATTGCCCTTGGTTTTGTAAAAACAACAGCAACCATTATTCAGGAAAGTTGAAAATTTAAATGTACAAATTGAATAGTGGCCCATGTACCCTAAATCTCAGCACAAATGTTATATTATGTATGAATACAAAGTAATGAGATTACTTTTCCAAGTAATTTGTCAGTTAATCTCATAACCTTCTGGTGATACTTTATTTACCTTACAAGATTTGTGAAATGCATGTTACAGAAAGCCATCTTTTATACATCAGTAGGGCTCAGTAATTTTAATACTGGGCTGATCATTTGGGCCAATGAAATGCTATCTTCATTTTTCTGGGAAAAGCATCCTATTCATTCATCTCATAAAGTAGTTCAATAATTTTTATCTTCTACCCTGAATCTTTTTATGCAAATCAACAGAGTGACTGGGAAAGGTAAAAAATTAACTTTCAAACCAAAAACATAGTTTTAGCATGCAATATATTAGTCATCCTGTGGTGCTGTTGTTGTCTTATATTATTAACATAACAACCACATATGATATTTACAGTTCTACAGTTATTTGTCTCCTTGTATTTTTAAGGATTCCCATAAATATTTACAACATTGCTGTGTATAAGTCAAAGAACAGAAATAGGCATATTTAAATACTCTTGTTAGTGAACTTTTCTACAGATGTCTTTTTAAAATAGTTCAGAGAAGTACTATATTCAAGAATCTTCTGCTAAATCTCCTGGATTCTAGCTTTCAACAAATGTCTTCAACATTAAGCTAGACTCATCAAAATAAATCCCAATACCTCTGAGATCATTTTCATTTGTCTATCAAAGTATCCAAGAGGACTTGAAATTACTAGGAGACATTGTCATTTGAAAATTGAAATTTTGTTTAATGAAGAAGTCCACATCTACAACACAATCCTTCAACTAGATTATTTCATATACAGTTGATTACTGCATACAAGATAAACTAGCTAGCTACAATCTAATACATAGCTATCACAAGTTTATTAATTATGTTCATTGTGTATTCATAATTTAGATGTCTCATTTAGTATTTTGAGGTGTCAAGTTTGTCATGTGTGTTTTGATGTTAAGTGTCTTAGTTTGTTTCTTCAATGGAGAGCATTATAAAGTATCAGTTTTTATAACTGATGTTCACCTATCTTTGAGAGCTCAATGAGTGGAGAAGATACCATACGTCTGGAAGTTCTACCACTATTACCCTTGTAAACTTCAAATCCACCCCCTCTCGGAATGCCAGCATTACCTCTAGGAACTTGAGGATTATCCATGGGCATTCCAACATTAACCATGGGGATAGTATTGACATCATTCTTGGGGACTCTAACATTGCCTCTGGGCCGTGCAGAATTATCCTTAGGAATTGCAATGTTTCCTCGAATTGCAGGATCCTCAAATCTTGGCTCAATGGGAAGATGTTCTCCAGAAGGTGATGGAATTGCTCTTTTCCAGGCTTCCTCCACTTTATATCTTTTCTTGATGTTTTCTAGAACACAAAGCCAGAATTTTATAAGTAATTAACAGATTGGCTTCAGTTTTGAGAAGAGGCTATGACTAAGAATGAGAGATGTATTTCCAAATTTGATCTCAGTCCAATTACCTCAAAATGTCATGGTGATTTTACCATAGTATGTAACTTTTATTTAGCAGTTGCACTTTTGGATGCAACAGACGGACAAAGAAAAAAGTGAATAAAGTTCTAAACCAGAAGTGTTTATTGGAATGAAGTGGAGAAAGAGGATGAACGATCTGTGTATAATGGGAGAAGAGCTACAGTTTGAAGGACTTCCAGGAACAACAGTGATTAGTATGAAATTTTATTTCCTTTGGTAGTATGAAAGATTAACTAAATTAAGAATTTAGTGGAAACAAGAAATTAGATAAAAGGTAACCATAAGAACTGGAAGCACTCAGGAAGTGTGTGTGTGTGTGTGTGTGTGTGTGTGTGTGTGTGTCTGTCTGTCTAAGCATGCAGGCAGGCACTTGTCTGTGCAAGTGCACATGGTGCCCATACAACAACCTAGTATGTTATGTACCAGGAGTTGCTCACTTTTTAATTTTTAATTTATTTTTATTTTTGAGGCAGAGTGTCTACTGGGCAAACTCCAGTTCTGGGCTAACAAGCACACACAACTATGTCTCTTTGCTTTTCAACCAGAGTTTTCAAAATCAAACCCAAGTCTCTTGCTTGTAAGGCAAGCTCTTTCTTTACTGAGCAGTTCAGGGTTGCTAATCCTATAGGTCTTCAATTTGAGAATACATTTGATCCAACTTTACATTTCAAATGACAATGTTATTTGAGGTGACCTTAGGTTATACTTTAATTTCTTTGATAAATAACTTCTTAGATTCTAAATATTTATAGAAAAAGAAATATTACAGAATGGGCCAAGGTTTGAATTCCAGGTAAACTCTGGGTTAGACCAGATTTTTCATTGAAATCATCTTCAGGAATTTGGTGAAGCTATTTAAAAAAATTATTTCTAGTTGGCATGCTTTTCATAAAGTTGTAGCATTGGGGCTCTGACAGAAGTTAGTCATGAAAATTCCTAATATACCCAGTATTGACAGGAGCATTTTGTATATGTTTATATAGATGTAAAGATGAAACAAAAACGTTGTTCTATAGTTAGTAGCAAATTTCAGTCTAGGATTTAAAATGTTACAAATATAAGTTATGTTAGCATTACTTTTAACCAATTATAGGTTAAAATACTAATGGTTTATTTGCCAATTCACACTTTCTTGTCAGTAGTTCCTCACATACAAGAGAGATAGGAAAACTATTTGGTGGATTTTTAACCAATTGGTTAAGAATGCCCATCATCATATCATTCCTTTTTTCTTATCTACTTCTCAGTTAATGGGTAATGAGTGCGCTAGCGGACACTATTTTCCTACTCTATGGATTAAAGCTGGATGAGTGAGAACTATTCGTTTTCTTATGCTTTTCTTCCTAAACTGAAGTTCTTTTAAAAAGGTGAATTTTTATTCCTAATTTGAAGTCTTCAAAAGTCTGGGTATTCTATAACACACCCCCAATGGTTATTAACTGGTATGTGATTGAATTAACCCAACTCAGCATCAGGCTGCAATCACCGAATATGAATATAAGGCTTAAATTTGTGGAAGAGAAACTAATTCCATCATAATATGTCTCTTATATGAAAAATTATATATAACATACAAGAGTCGTGACAGCAAAAAACAAACAAACAAACAAAAACCCCTTACCTTCTGTTAGTAAATTACGGTCATGTGAGAAGAAATGAATTTCTTCTGCATCTAATTTGAATCCAGGTACATTTACGTATTGGCCTCTGATTTCACTGTATCTTGGTAAGCTTCGACTGCGCTGCCGCTGGAGTTTAGGGCGCTCGGGCAACAAAGGGAAAGGGCCTTGCAGAGCCTGGAAATGCTGATCCTGAGGACGGATGGTTACTTGATTTTCTTCTTCTGATGTTAGCTTGTTGCAACCCATATCTCTGTTTTCTTCCTTGGGAGTAGTTTGGAGAATGTGGAGCCCCTCACTGTTTAGTGGTGCCTCTAAGAGCTCTGCCCAGGAACGCCGGAAGATGGGTCTTTCTCTAAATGGATACATGCTTCTTGCTACTTCCAGGTCATCACTTCCTGGGGACTCTGCATTGTCTGGAGATTCCATCCACAGATTTCTTGGGGTTGCTGGGCGACTGTATTCTGAGGATGGTGAACATTCATTTATTAAATTCTCCAGGTGTACAAACCCAGTGAAATGCAAAGTTGGAATTTCTGTATCATCTAGCTCCTCCTTTCCAGGCACACCAGCAACATATATTGCGGTGCCATTCCCCCTTTCATTTGGGCTGGCAATTCCTGTAACGTCTAAGCGTTTCAATTCTGGGACCCCTCGAGACTTAATTGGTACTTTCTCTATGCGAAGAAGCCCTGAAGTTTTTGGCTTTACAAGGGCAATGCTGTCTAACTCCTTAGTTAGTGGGGGGGTGGTAACCATCGCCTCCTGATTCGTAAGCCCCAAGTCCCTCTGAGGGATACCTTCACGGGTGGGCTGCTGAGAGGTCAAAGTTGGATTCTGTTGCTTTTGTTTTCTGGCCCTTTCCCGATTTTCCGCACTATTAGGACGGAAATAAATGAACTCGTCAGAAATAATTTGAGAACATCTGTGTTGGAAGGTTGGATTCATGGAAACAATCTGAAAGACAAATCAAAGATAGGGTTCATTATGTCAACACTTTGAATTACATTCTTGATTCCGATGTATTGTATCTTTCACTGTAAGGACAGGATAACACTAATTTAGCCACGATAGGCATAAGTTAACCAACTCCAAATTGAGAAATATGAAGAATTCCCCCAAAGTGATCTATGTATTTCAGGAAAAGATTATTTTAGTATAGTGTTTCCCAAGTTTATTTCCTAATAACCTAATCAAACACTCTTTGTTATCATCTGAGAACATACATTATCCAAGGCCAATAGTTTAGGAAGCAATTTTATAACTTATTAATATGTAGGACTCACTTAAAGTTTCTTAGAGATATATTTAAACTATTTGTTTTTATTTTTGTATATATGTCCATGTGCTTGCCCTGTATGCATATATGCACATTGTGTGTGAGTGTGTGTGTGTGTGTATGAGTGTAAGTACACTCATGCCATAGCAGTTGTGTGAACAGAGTAAAGCTTTCTATAAATCAATTTTCTCCTCCTACCTTGCTTCTGAGGCACAGTTTCTCTTGTTATTTTGTCTGCTTGGATGTGTGCCATCGGAGTGCTATGCAAGCTAACATAAAATTTCAAAAATTGAGTTCTGGGGATCAAACTCAGTCATTAGGGTTGTGGCAAGAGATTTCACTTGATGAATCATTTTTGCTGGCTTAGAAATGTTTGAATTGACATACTGCTCATCTTGAAGGGACTGTCCTCTCAGGCTTGCTACTTCTTCAAGACAATAAACAAGTTGTTTGGCAACACTCTTAAAATGCAAACCAACAAGCTACAGTCTATACTTTCAAACAATTCAGTCTCCAGGCCACTATCACCTGGCCAGTCATTTTCAGGATAGGTACCGTATAACTTGGGGTAGCTCCTATATCCCAGAAGCCACAAGAATTATTCAAGCTAGTTTCTTTGCCTTGCCGCATTATCACTGTTTTTGGTGTTTTCCATGTGTTCCCTACCTTATGTCATAGTATGTCACTTCTCTTGGGATATGTTAGTATAGCAGACTATATAGCAGGCTGTCTTTTACTGATATGTGTGCTAATCTCACAATATATGATGATATATAAAAATAAGCATACTGAACATTCCTATTTGCATATAACTACTCTTAAACTGTGTACTTGATCTTACACCCATCACAACTCTGTGATTCTTGAAGATTTTCATAAACCTCAAAAGAAATCACAGAACATCAGCAAAAGTGAGAATAGAGTTTCATGAAAATTCTTACAATAAATCCAGTGGGGAAAAAAAGCTGGCACAAGATGTCAAAATCAACTTTCAAAACCCTAGAAATGAGCCAAAGGCTTGGAGTAATTTCTGTTCATTTGTTCAGTGTGGGTGGCTGAGCTGTAATAGTGAACTTGTTGCATTTTCATTTTCCCTGTTCCAACATCACTGTCTCCCTCCTGTTTTATAGAAGCTTTACATGCCAACAATTTCGAATCACAGTGAAAAACCAGGGCCAAGCAACCACTGAAGGAGATGAAATGGAATTAAATCACCTTCACAACTCACTCTTATGGAGTTATCATTAACTGACTTTCCTGGCAACTACTACATATTGTACTCTAATAAAAAAATAAAGAAAAACAAACAAACAAACAAGCAGACATATACTTGCACACACCCAAGCAAGGTACTATAAAATTTATCACATTCACTAATTATTGGAAACATTTGATTTGTAAGGCCACTGGTCTTTATAATTTTCTCTAGCTTTTGCCATACAATATCTGCATAAATTAAATCAAAGAATGAAATTAAAGTAATTGTATTACACTGAAAACTTCTGCCTAGTATTTATCAGTTACATGCTGTGTTATCAACTTTAGTATGTGTTTCTTTTTTTTAATCTTCTAACTCTGTGGCACTTCTCTATGTTTTCTAAAGAAAAGTCCATGTATTTGCTAATTTTCTTATTTATTATTTTGGGAGTGTAACATGAAGAGATCTTTGTAATTTGATTAGAACAGACTTTCTACCACAATACTTTCATATGATGGTTCCAAAATTATAAGTCGTTCTATAAAATTGCTACATATTAAACTATATATTGTGGAAAAAGCTAAGTCAAATACAACATTAGAAGATTTCCCTGGTTTATATGCTCATCGATATTAACGAAGGATTTCTCTTTCTACATATTCTTACCAGAATTTGTGTTTCTTGATGCTAGCCACTCTAATTTGGGTGAGATATAATTTCCAAGGTCTTTTAATGTGGATTTCTACTATAGCTCAGGATGTTGAATATTATAAAATAGGTATTGTTCATTTGTGTTTCTTGTTTTGAAAACTGTCTATTCAGTTAATTGGCTGATTTACTAATTGGCAGTTCATATATTCTGCATATTAGCTCTTTGTCTGAAGTATATCTGGTGAAGACCTCCAATTTCTATACCACATCTCTCTACTCTGTTGATAATTTCTTTTGCTGTGCAGAAGTTTTCTTTTAATTAATTAAGTAATTAATTTTTAATTTCGTTTTGCATTCCCACTACACTTCTCCCTCCCATCCTTCTTACTCCACCCTCACCTCCCCCTCAGTCTATCTTCCTTCCACTTCTCCCAAAGGGTAAGGCCTCCCATGGGGAATCAACATAGTCTGACACATTAAGTTGTGGCAGGACCAAGCCCCTCTGCCAAGTATTAAAGGCTGAGCATGGCATCCCACTATAGGGAATGGGCTCCAACAAGGTAGCTCATGCACCAGGAATAGATCCTGGTCCTACTGCCAGGGATCCCTCAGATAAACCAAGCTACACAACTGTCTCCCACATGCAGAGGGCCTAGTTTGGTTCCATGGAGGCTCCACAGCTGTAGGCCCAGAGTTCATGAATTTCCACGAGGTTGGTTCAGCTGTCTTTGTAGATTTCTCCATCATGATCTTGATTTCCCTTGATCATCTGTTCCCTCCTCCCTCTCTTCAACTGGATTCCCAGAGTTGGGCCTGGTGCTTGGTTGTAGATCTCTGTGCAGAAGATTTGTAAACTATCAATTCTTGGGTCTACTGACTGTGCTATTGGGATTCTAGTCAGAAAGTTGCTGCCTATAGCTATCCCTCAAGTGTTTTCCTTATGTTGCATATTAGCAGTTTCAGTGTTTATGATTTTAAATTAGAATTTTAATCTGCTTTGAATTTATGCTTTTTTCATGATTATCTAATTTAATTCTTCTGTAGCCATGTGCCCAGTTTTGCTGGCACCATTTATTGAATGAGTCATCTCTTTTTTTCAGTAATGCTTTTGACAACTCTGTCAATAATTAGATGTGCATAGCTGTGTAATTTAGTTTGGTATTCCCCATTGTGTTGCATAGGTCTACATAGTCTGTCTTTGTGACATTACCGTGCTGTCTTTGTTACTCTAGTTCTGTAGTATATTTTGAGGACAGGAAATGTTATAATTCTGGTTGTGCCTTTTTTTGCTTAGAATTGCTTTGTCTCTGCATGGTATTTTGAATTTCCATGTAAATTTTAAGATTACTTTCTTGTTTCAGTTTTGTGAGGAATATTACTAGAATTTTGTTTGGGATTTCATTGAATCTATAGCTTACTTTTGATAGTATAACTATTTTTTGTAATATAAGTTCTTTCAATCCAGGAATATGGAAAGTATTTCTACCATATAATGTCTTTCTCAAACAAAAGTCATCATCTTCAATTTTCCTTGTGGAGTTCTTTCACCTTATTCATTAGTTCAATTTTTATTTATTTTTTAGTTTTATTTAAAGCTATTGTGAATAGGATTTTTTCTTTAATTTCATTGTCAATGTTCGTTATTGGCATGCATGAAATCTACTGATTTTTATATGTTGAGTGTGTGTCCTGTGACATTATTGACAGTGTTTATCAAGTCTAAAAGGTTTTTTTTCAGAGTCCTTGGGTCTTTTAATAGTATTCTGTTTTCTGTAAATAGGATTAATTTAGCATCTTCCTTCCCAACATTATCCCCTTTATATCTATGTCTTGTTTTAATTTCTCTAGCTAAGACTTTAAGCTCTATACTGAATCAAAATGGAGACAGTGGGCAGTTTGTCTTAATCTAGATTTTGGCTGAAATGCTCTCAGTGGTTCATGTTATATTATAAACATGTTATGTTAGCTACAGGTTTGTTATATACAGCTTTCATGTTGAAGTATGTTTCATAAATTTCCAGTTCATTCAGGACTTTTAACATGAAGACATGTTAAAAGAACTTTGTTGATGGGCAATGTTATTCTTTATATATGCTTGTCTTATTGGTTGATGAATAAAACACTGATTGGCCAGACAGGATGATAGGTAGGACTAGGAGACAAGGAGGATTCAGGGAAGTATAGGCAGAGAGGAGTCATCATATGATCCCAAGAAGTGTTATAGCTGGGCAGAAACTGCTACTAGCTAACCATAAAGGTCTGGAGGTCTGTATAGACGGGCAGGAAGTAACATAGCTGGGCAGAATGAGTATATAATCCGGGACAAACAGGAAATCACTCTTTTATTTGTGGAGATACTGAACAGTCAAGATGTAAGATGCCAGAGTAAGGGGTCCCTGGACCCCTTTTCCAGTAAGATAAGACCATGTGGAAATACACAAATTAGTAGTTATGGGTTAATAATTAAGAAGCCATAGCCATTGGTCAACAACTTTATAATTAATAAATCATCTGTTTGTTTCTTTGGGGCAGAGAAGGGCAGCAGGACTTAGCCGGGCCAGAAAACTGACCCAACCTGGCCAGAAAGCTCATGTTACACTTTGTCAAATGGCTCTTCTCTATCAAGATCATTTGATTTCTAACTTTAAATCAATTACTATGCTGTATTACAGATATTTACTTGTTTATTTTGCATCCTTTGATGAAATTAACTTTGTCAAGATCTTATTAATTTGATGTTGAAACAAATTTATCAGTAATTTTTTAAAGAATTCATACATTTATGTTAATCACATTGTTGTAACAATTCCCCTTTCATCTCTAATTTTA